CTATTAACTGTATCAGAAAGAGCGCTGCACAAGGAGGCTTTTCAACCTAATTCATGGCTTAGTCGGGCATCCTCAGACAAATCATAAACACTACAAAGCTGAGTACCCCCTCAGTAGAAAAAGAAGGGTATAGAATTAGATGAACTCTGATTCTCTCTCAGGTCTGCAATTCTAGGAAATGGGCTGGGGAGTTATTAGAGGTGTGCCCTGCCCATTAGATACCTGCAGCCACATGTAGCTATTGAGTAACTATAATAAGGCTGGTCTTAACTGTAATATGTCATAAATGTAAAATATACACCATATTTAGTACAAAAAAGGGAAATATTACATTAGTAATTTTATATTAATTACATGTTGAAATTAGGTTAAATAGTACTAAAATTTATTTCACCTGTTTCTTTTTCACTTTTTAAAAAATGTATTTTGCACCCTAGATGGTTTGGCTCAGTGGATAGAGCGTCAGCCTGCAATTCAATTCCAGTCAAGAGTACATGCATGGGTTGTGGGATGATCCCCAATAGGGGGAATGCAAGAGGCAGTCGATCAATGATTCTCTCTCATCATTGATGTTGTTATCTCTCCCTCTCCCTTCCTCTCTTCAGTCATTAAAAATATTTTAAAAATAAGAAAATGTATTTTGCGGCTCATATTTCTAAGCTTTTTTTTTTTTTAATTTCTACTGGACAGCACTGTTACAGACTATTTTCAGAATACACAAGAGACTGTGATTCTGTAGCCAAAATGACAAACAAAATGTAAGGCATTATAAAAAAGTCTTAAAAACACTCTTCTGGTCCCTTATAAAGTCATGGTGTGTACCAAAGTCCTGTTCTATGTCCAGTTTTCCTTATATTACCTGAAGAAAGATGTAATGCAAAACCAAACAACTCAAGTAAATAGAATGATCAATAAGACAGGCAATAAGGTTAGAGACAAGTATGTATGGAAAGATAAAGACTACAATATATGATGACAATCTCTAAAATCTGACAAAGGCTGAATGAGAATTTATGAAATGCTGTTCAACAAATATCAGAAAAAAAGCAAGGGAGAATTCTTTGAAGCTTTATGGAGGCATTTCAGACAGAGGTACAACTTTGCAGAGCAAGTAGCCTTATACAAAAAACTCAGGGATGGCACAGGTTAAAAAAAAAAAAGTGAATTCTACAAAGATTATACTATAATATTAACCCATAAAAGTGGTTACTGTGGAATTACACAATTCTTTGTATTGCATCTCTGAGAGAGACACTAGTATTCTCCCAACCCTTACCATGGTAACTGTCTTAAGTTCCTCAGTAAGAAAATTGAATATCAACTCAACATGCAATTTCTTCGTTTACATGTCCCTTCTAAGAACCATCTAAGACAGTGGTAGGCAAGCTCATTAATCAACAGAGCCAAATATCAACAATACGATTGAAATTTCTTTTGAGAGCCTAATTTTTTAAACTTAAACTTCTTCTAACGACACTTCTTCAAACAGACTGGCCCAGGCCATGGTATTTTGTGGAAGAGCCACATTCAAGGGGCCAAAGAGTCGTATGTGGCTCGCAAGCTGCAGTTTGATGACCACAAAAAGAGATCTGACAGTCTTCAAGTTATAAAACCCACACCCACCTAAGTACTTAAGTTTAAATATTCAATAAACCTGATTTTTATTATTCAGTCTTCCACAACCAGATATGGAATCTGTATCGTCTACGAGCAGCTCTGAAATCTTTATTGTAGATGAGAATCACATGACCTCTTTTAAAAGAAAGGTTATACTTTGTCTACTCTTATATTTTATCCTTATTCCTTCAAAACAGTTATATTAACTTGATTCAGTACTAGTGATTGGACCACTTCCAATTTAGGTATAGAGAAATCATGATTAGATTTAGAATATCCTATGCATTTGTTTTATTTAGTACCTCCAACTTCTAGTCAGTCTAAAACACAGTGAGTTTCTGTCTTTTCTACCAGAACAAATCTTTTCCATATGATCATTAAGTGGCCCCAATGATTACTTTGCTTCCTCACAGAATCTTTTACTTTGGCTTTAAAGTCTCTGAAAAGGTGCTCCTGGAATACTTTCTTGGCCTGCCTAATTTTAGTTTGAACTTCATGCCAAGAAGTAAAATCAAATTTAAATTATTTTAAATATACCAAAGAGGAGCAAATTAATTTGACAAAAACATTTCCAAGATCAAAAAAAAAAAGCCTTTGCTTAAAAGAAAAATTCATAATTTTCCCCAGTAGTTGCCCAGAAGATTTTTTAATTTCTTAAGAAACATACATGCCAAATACAGTCCATTTTGTGTTGCAAGGGGAAATGAAATGATTTAATAATATTTCCTTGAGCCGAAACCGGTTTGGCTCAGTGGATAGAGCATCGGCCTGGGGACTGAAAGGTCCCAGGTTCGATTCCGGTCAAGGACATGTACCTTGGTTGCGGGCACATCCCCGGTAGGGGGTGTGCAAGAGGCAGCTGGTCGGTATTTCTCATCGACGTTTCTAGCTCTCTATCCCTCTCTCCTCCTCTCTGTAAAAAATCAATAAAATATATATATATTTTTTTAAATATTTCCTTGAGGTAGGAGGGAAATCTGTTTATCAAACTAAGAGGTCTAAAGAAAATCCAACTAGTTATCATCCAAATCATTTTAATATCCAATTCAAATTAGTATCAACATTTTTTATTAAATATATATATTTTATTGATTTTTTTTACAGAGAGGAGGAGAGAGGGATAGAGAGCTAGAAACGTCAATGAGAAACACCGACCAGCTGCCTCTTGCACACCCCCTACCGGGGATGTGCCCGCAACCAATGTACATGCCCTTGACCAGAATCAAACCTGGGACCTTTCAGTCCACAGACCGACGCTCTACCACTGAGCCAAACTGGTTTCGGCTCAACATATATTTTTATAATAAGCAACATTTTACTAATATAAACACAAAGCTTAAAACAGCTTTATATGCTAAAGAACAGAAAATTTCACCTCAACTCTCTGACATGCAAAACCCCACTTCTCTCATGGGATAAACAATGCTACCAAAAGATGTCTGGTTATTTTCCATGATCTGGGTCCCAATGTTGCTTGTATCTTTGTTTCCTTAAGAAGCCACCGGGCAAGAAACTAGAAACACCAATCAAAAAGGATATAAGCACCCCTATGTTCATAGCAGCACAACTCACCATAGCTAAGATTTGGAAACAGCCTAAATGCCCATCAGCAGATGAGTGGATTAGAAAACTGTGGTACATCTACACAATGGAATACTACGCTGCGGTAAAAAAGAAGGAACTCCTACCATTTGCAACAGCATGGATGGGCCTGGAGAGTATTATGTTAAGTGAAATAAGCCAGGCAATGAAAGAAAAATACCACATGATCTCACTCTTTATTTATGGAAAATAAAGAACATTATAACCTGTTGAACCAAAAGATAGATATAGAGTCAGTAAAGCACAGGACAGACTGTCAAATTACAGCGGGAAGGCAGGGGAGTGTTGGGGAGAGGAGGAAAGAGAACCAAAGGACTTGTATGCATGCATATAAGCACACCAATGGATGTAAGACTCTGGGGGGTGGGATGAGGGGTAGGGAGGCTGGGGGAAAGTCAATGGGAAAAAATGGAGATGTATGTACTACTACATGTAATACTTTAAACAATTAAAAAAAAATTTTTTAAAGAAGCCACAAAGGACCCAGATGAGCATGAGAGCTCCATTTCTACTAATATTGGCTTTGTCCTCATTTAAAATTATCCTATTAAAGGGAAAATACACACAAGAATGACTCCCTTATAATACAGTGCACATCATTTACCTATAAATACAAATAAGTTACATTCACAACAGCACCTTTGGCTTTCAACATCTTGCATTTTTGCTGTCGTTAAATATCAACCTGTACCAAAAGAGACCGCAAAACAAAAAACAACACACACACACACACACACACACACACAGCAACATCTTCCTTAAGAGAAAAAAAATTCACAAAGATAAATTGCTTTAAAAAACAACTTAAAGAATTAAAACAATTTCAAAAACTATTGGCGGTTTACCCACTTACCCACAGCAAACAAATCAATGCTAATTGAGCAAATAAAAGAGAGTAGCACTAACTAGGCACCTAAGCCCTAGTTTCCACAAACGCACAAAAACAGAAAGACTTGTCAAAAGACCTCCATTCGTTCCTTTACACACACACACACACACACACACACACACACACACACACTGTTCCTTGGACTCTGCGGCAACAAAAAACTCACCTCTTTTAGGAAACCAAGAAAATGCAAACCTGAGTTAAGAAGGGATCAAGGGGGAACAACTTAAAAAAACAGGAAAGCATTTGTAATTTACTGCGGGACTCCCAAATGGTCCACCTCAATGAGCTTAACTGAGCTCACGGCGCCCAGGAAGACGGGGTTCCAGGGCCGGGGCAGGAGAAAGCCAGCCCCGGGGAAGAACAATTGGAGCGGCGGCAGGGCCGGAGGGAGGGACGCCCCGCCGTTCTCTCCCACCTCGGCCCCCGCGGCGCGCTCCCGAGGCCCGGGCATCTGTCACCCGCCGGCCCCCGCGCTCCTGTCACCGCCTCGGGAGGGATGACCCCAGCCCGAGGGCAGGGTTCGGACTCCGGGACACCGGGGATGGGTCAGCCGAGGGCAGTCCTCTTTGCACAGCTGTCAGGGTTCGGAGCCCCTGCGGCGGCCCGAAGGCGCGGAGCGGTGACCCTGGGGCAGAGGCCGCGACATCCCTCAGGATCCCCGCTACGGAACCGGGACGGCACTCCGGGGAGGGCTCCGGCTCCTCCGTCCACCCCCGCCCTCAGCGAGACGCCAAAAGGGACCGGGTCTCTCGGCGCCGCGTCAGGCCCCCCGCCGAGACGGGGCGAGAGGCCGGCGGGGGTCCCGCGTCGAGAAGGGCGGGCCGGCGGGCGCCCCGCTGCCGGAAGGGGCGAGCCCGACCAGCGGCGCTCCCGCCCCGACCGAGCCTACCTTCAAGTCGTTCTCCGGAAGGTACTTGCACAGCCGCGCTATCTCCACATACTTGTCCAAGTCGAGGGGCGCCATTTTAGGAAGAACTAGCCCCGACGACGGCAGCGGCGGCGGTGGCGGCGGCGGTAGCGGCGGCGGCTGAAGTAGCGGCCGCAGCGGCAGAGGCCGAAGCCGGAACTCTCCCTGCGTCACGTCCGGCCCGTGAGAGACGACGGCGCGGCGACGTAGAGCTTGACCTAGGTCTCCCCGCCGCCTGGACACGCCCCACACCTTCTCCCCCCCCCCGGAACTCCGGCGGCGGGCCCTGAGGGGTTCCTCCGGGACAATGAAACCTGCCGGGACCCGTAGTTGGCTGCCGCGGGGCAGGCTGGGATTTGTAGTCTTGATGCTAGATACTCCAGTTTTCTTTCTCCAGACTTGCACTTCTGAGGGGACCCAGCGAGGCTTTTCCGAGCAAAACAACGAAGGAGGTAACCCTAGCTATTCCCCGGTTTCTCACTTTGACCCATTTAAGCATTCCCTCACCCGAACATTGCGCTAAAAGGTTGCGGTTCCATTGTGGTCAGGACACAGACCTGGGTTGCCGGTTTGAACCCTGAACCCGGAGGGGCGTGCCCGGGAGGCGACCCATTGATGTTTCTCTCACATGGATGTTTCTCTATGTCTCTCTCTCCCTTCCTCTCCTTCTAGAAACAATATAAAGCATGTCCTCCGGTGAGGATTTTTTAAAAATGCTCCAACCAGCTCAAGCATCAGATAGCCAGAGTTCAAGTCTAGTACTCATTATGTTATTTTGGCAAAGTTATTTACCCTTTCTGTTCACAGTTTACTCAGTTACAATATGGAAATTGTAATAACAGTGTCTATTTTATATGGAGATGACAAGAATACTTCTTACCTTATAAGCTTGTATTGGAATTTAATAGTTACTATGGGAAAGGTTTAAAACAATGTTATGTACAGAGTGGGTGCAATGTGTTAGTTCTGAGTATTGGGTGGACAAGAAAGGTTTTTCTGAAGAGGTAACATTTAAGACTTTAGTGGGGGGAAATGTATAGGAAGAATATGCTCAGTTTCTTGTTGAAACAACTTCCAATTGAGCAAAAGATACTACTGCTGTTTAACTTTTTTTTTTTTTAATTACAGTCCTTTTTGGAAAGCTGGCAAATCACTTTTCTTTCTTTTTTTTTAAAAAAAAAAAAAATAAATATATATATATATATATATATATATATATATATATATATTTTTTTTTTTTTTTTTTTTTTTTTTTTTTTACAGAGAGGAAGGGAGAGAGATAGAGAGCTAGAAACGTCAACGAGAGAGAAACATCGACCAGCTGCCTCTTGCACACCCCCTACCGGAGATGTGCCCGCAACCAAGGTACATGCCCTTGACCGGAATCAAACCTGGGACCTTTCAGTCCGCAGACCGACGCTCTACCACTGAGCCAAACCGGTTTCGGCTTCAAATCACTTTTCATCTCTGAACCTCAGTAACTGGGAATGAACTTACCCAAAATACCTTCTCAGAATTGGGAAGGAGGACAAAGAAAGTGCTGCAAAAAAAGGTGTCACCAGCATCATTCATTCCCTTGCCGATAAGTCAGTGAACAGGTAGGTAATGAAAGCAGATGGTATCCCCTTTTAGTGAAATAGGGGGTAGTGTTCACATGGCCAAACTGGCATTAAGAAGCTCCATTCTGCAGACCCATCTCATTCAGTGAACCTCACTGTTGACATCCAGAGCAGAGAGAGCATCCCTGAGTGTGGGCTAGGTCCTTAGAAGAGGTAATAGGTGCATTGGGTAGTTTTTACAGAGCCAGTATGAGGAGCTTGCTGACTGGAATATGTTGTTAATCTTCCTTGCACAAACCAGGAGATGTGGGCTCCTGGTTCTGCCATATACGTGAGTTAGTCATTTTAATTTCTCTGGGCCTTGATTTCCATTATAAAAATAGGTCTCAAAAGTTCCTTCCAGCCGAAACCGGTTTGGCTCAGTGGATAGAGCATCAGTCTGCAGACTGAAAGGTCCCAGATTCGATTCCCGTCAGGGGCATGTACATTGGTGTGGGCACATCCCCAGTATGGAGTGTGCAGGAGGCAGCTGGTCGATGTTTCTCTCTCATCGACGTTTCTAGCTCTCTATCCTTCTCCCTTCCTCTCTGTGGAAAATCAATAAAGTTAAAAAATAAAAAATAAAAAAAGTTCCTTCCATAGAGCATTGGCCTGCAGACTGAGGGATCCCGTTCAATTCCGGTCAAGGGCATGTATTAATACATTAGTTGCAGGCACATTCCTAGTGGGGGTGGTGCTGAGGCAGCTGATCAATGATTCTCTCTCATGGATGTTTCTAATTCTCTATCCCTCTCTCTTCCTCTCTATAAAAAAATCAATAAAATATATTAAAAAAAAAAAAAAAAGTTCCTTCCAGCACTTTCTGAAATGTGATTTCTAGTCTAAAAGCAGAGGTTCCACAATTAAAACTCGTTGCTCTTTCACCCATAAACCTCTTCCAATTTTTGTTTTTGCACAACTCCAGAATGTCACCTTGAAATGGATCTAGCCAAAAGACATAGGGGATGTCAAAGCATCCTGCAGCTCTGAGCAAAAATGTCCATGTAGACGCACATGAGCGTATGGCAGAGCCAACCTGGCCTTGGTTTTCTTTGCTGAAGGAAATCAGAATGACTGAATATTCCTAAACTCCTCTCAGGAAGACAGTCCATGGAGATTTCCCATTAATATGGGCATTCACAAAGACTCCGGGTGTTTGAAATAGGGTATTTGAACATTGAGGAGGGCTCAGACCTCACATTCCATTTTGTCAATAAATTTTCATTTTGTAGCTAGAAAATTTACCAAGTTGGCTTTTCACCTTGGTAAATCTTGGTACGATCAAATCCTCACAGCTGCTCCCTCTGGGAGGTAGGTATTACTATTCCCCATTGTAGAGAGAAGGAAACTAGGGCTCGGAGCGGAGGAATGAACTTGCCAAATGTCAGGGTTAGATGGTTTATGCTGGAGCCTGGATTTGAACCCAAGTGTGTCTTTCTTCTTCCCACTAAGCTCCCATAGCTGTTTTTAAGGAGCTCCTGTTGCTTTTTTTTTTTTTTTTTTTTTTCTTGGCTGTTTCCTAGGATACAACTGGCCTCAACCCTCCTAAGTGATTTTGAGATTCTCTAAAACATAGACATAGGTGAGCCACCTCTCCATTTTGAGGAAAGCCACAGAGAACCAATGGTTATGGAGCCCAGAGATAATGCAGATGGAATACTTCCTATTGAGGACTGTGTCTAGAGTTGGTTTATAGCTCGGAAGCACATTACACTTCATGGAGGACCAGCTCTGCACCGGCGGCTGGGCACTGAACCTTTAAATACATTAGCCATGTATTCCCCATCATAACCTCGTGACAGAAATCTTAGCTCCATCCTACAGGAGCGACACCGAGGCCCAGAGAAAAGCAACTTACCCAAGGATAGCTACTCTGATGGATGGACTTTCTATTCCTTGCACGTTTTACAAATGTACCTAGTTGTTTGTTCTTGTTTAACCCCCCTCTCTAATTTGATTGTAAACTCCAGGGGGCCGGGACCTTGTTTGCCTGGTTCTCCATAGTGCCTGCCATGGTTATTATACTTGCTAATTCTGGAATGAGTCAACCGTTTAAGGCGGTAAAACTTGAACTGGCCCCAAGACTGCGCAGCGAGATTTCTCACTCGGGGAAAGCATCCTTAACTCTCCCTTTCAGAAACCATTTCCTTTTTTTTTTTTTCCTCCTACCGAGAGGTCATTTATTAGGAGTCAAATGAAAAAGTCAAATTAGCTTAAGAAAGAAAACTTCTCGCTTACATAAATGAAATGTTCAAAGAGGTAATGTGGGCTTCAGGCATGGCTGGATCCAGGCACGCTCCACCTTCTGGCCCTCTTACTTCCTGTGCTGGCTTCATGCACAGGCGGGCTCTCTTGGGCAACTCTGGGCTTCCATCTTCCTAGCTCAGTCAGCATCCATTTCTAACAGCCGCTGGAACTGGAACTATCCCAGCCCCTTTAGGATAGCCCGCAATCGGGTCACCCACGGGGACGTCCAGCCTCCAGCATTTCTCTCGTAAATCCTTTCCAAGTAGCCCCTGGCTTTCTGACTCCCCAGGAAGGTGAAGACCCCGAAAACTGCCCGCCTGATTGGTGCCCCGGAAATGAATAGTCTACGTCCCAGCCCGGAGAACCCCGCCCCCTTTAAGGGCGATCCCTGGGGGCTGAACCCTGCGAGGGGGGGGCGGAGGGAAGCAGTTGGCTGCCTCGCTTTTCCGGGGCCTGGGATTGGGTGACGGCCTAAGCCACGCCCACGTGGGGCGGAGCCACAGCTCGGGACTGGCCCCAGCCGCTGCAGGTAATGCGGTGGGTCTGGGACTGGGGGGGTTCCTAGGGCAGGATCCTGGGGTGGGGGCGGCCTGATCCTTTAGGGAAGCGGGCGTGGGCCCGGGCCGGGTTGGAGCGGGCCTCCTCCTGCTCTGGCCTGGGCTCCTGGATGGAAAGGAGCCGGTCTGTTCTCTCTCCAGACCCTGTCTCCTCTCTCCTGTCACTGCCACGCGGGGACAGAGACTGGAGATATCCCCGCCCACACGAAGTTTATCCCATTGAGCTTGGGGGCAGTGGCTTAAGGCCAAAGTTGCATTTATCCATTCATCTCCCAGAAATCTCGTCCACTTTCTTCATTCACTCATCCTTCAGTTCTACTCTGTGCCGGACTCAGAGGTAGGTTTTCTGAAGGAATTCGACAGGCCCAGCTTTCTTGGAATTTAGCCTAAGAATCTAGTTTAGAGGCTTTTACATAGGGAATTACATTCACGGTGACCCCTGCAGTGATGGTGGTTTAATAGATACCTTAGGAGGGAGAAGGAAGTAATTTGGGGATGTTAAGTGAAAAGCAGCAAATCAGTGACGATTTGACTGAAGAGGATTCATTCATTCCAACCGGGTTGTGGAGGTGACCTAGGAGTTTGCTGGTTGAAAGGAAGGAAAGGAACATTTCAGGTAAGGAAAGCAGCGGGAGATGCAAGGTATGAAAGGGCTTGTCATGTTAGAGGAACGAAAAATATAGCAGGAAACTGTGGAGTGAGTTTCTGGGGAAAAGTTTGAGATCAGAAAGCTTCAAATGTGATGATGAGGCTAGGATTTATTCTAGAGTTCAGCATTTGTCAGCCTTTGGAAGTGTTTTATCTTTTGATAAACATAAGCTTGACCTCTGAAAATGTATTTTGATGTATGCCTCTTCTACATGAAAATTACAGACAC